TTCAGACGTGTGCTCTTCCGATCTCCCCAAAACCCCAAAACCCCAAAACCCCTCTACTTTACCCATTTTCGAAAGGCGCACTTTAAGATGGTATAGCCAATATAAATTCAATTTAATTGTATTAGATATAATAATTTACATTCAAATCTAAAGAGTTCCCTCAAAACAAGAAAAAGTACGTGACCTATTGAATTCCGAGGGTTTTTAATGGCCCAGCTCTAGAGAAGCTCTGCTATGCACCTCAACTAGAGAGAAGTCAGACTTCTCTAGAGACATTATTTCCTATTTGGACAAGCTCTTAACATTTTTGATCAGATGGCCAGCAAAGAAGAACTAATTCCAGACTACGAGTATGAACTCGATGAGAACCACGAAGAGGAAAAAACAAATGGCGCCAATGGAAATAAGTAGGAATCTCATCTTAGAAAGCTAATGTAAAATTTAGGGTGACTGCTTATTCTGGTGTACACTCAGCAGGTTTTAAGGATCTCCTTCTTAAGCCTCAACTTCAGAGAGCTATTATTGAATGCGGATTTGAGCATCCATCAGAGGTGCAACAAGAATGTATTCCACAGGCAATGATAGGTGTTGATGTGCTCTGCTAAGCTAAATCTGGTATGGGGAAAACAGCAGTCTTCGTCCTAACTATTCTTCATTAGTTACCAGAGGACCCTAAACCAATCTCCGCTTTAATCCTGTGTCACACTAGAGAGCTTGCTTATTAAATTAAGCAAGAGTTCACTAGATTCACTCAATTTCTACCAGAAATTAGAACAGAGGTTATTTTTGGAGGTTAGCCCATAAAGGATCAGGTTAATATGCTTAAGGGCCTCAAACCACCTCACATTGTCGTCGGAACTCCAGGCAGAATCAAGCATCTCGTTAAGGAAAAGGCTCTTGATCTCTCCGGTCTAAAAATCTTCGTTCTTGATGAATGCGATAGAATGCTAGAGGAAACTGGTAATAATCATCATCGCATCTATTGCATACAGTATATTAATGATTCCTCTTTATAGACATGAGATCCGACGTCCAACAGATTTTTATGGCAACTCCTCATCAAAAGCAAGTGATGATGTTTTCAGCAACTTTCCCTAACGAGTGCAAAAACATCGCAAGAAAGTTCATGAAGAACCCCTTCGAAATTTTCATTGACAACCAAAACAAGATGATCCTTCATGGTCTGAAGTAATACTACATCAAACTTGAAGACAATCAAAAAATCAAGAAGCTAACTGACTTATTGGACTCACTTATGTTCAATCAGGTCATCATCTTCGTTCAATCTATCAAACACGCCACTAAGCTTGACGAAATCCTAAGAAGAGATAACTTCCCATCCATTTGTATTCATGGAGATCTCCCATAGGAGGAAAGGTATGATGCTAATTTCAATAACACTTGTGATCAAAAGTCGCATTTGAATATCCTTACATTTCTTCATAACAGCAAATGTCTAACATTTTGACTATAGAATCAAGAGATATTAAGATTTCAAGAAGTTCAACCATAGAATCATTGTCGCTACTGACATTTTTGGTAGAGGTATTGATATTGAGAGAATCAATGTGGTCTTTAACTTTGACATGCCAGACAGCTCAGACTAATATCTTCATAGAGTTTGCAGAGCTGGTAGATTCGGTACTAAAGGTCTATCAATTAGTTTTATCTCATCTCCAACCGAGCAAGAGACTCTTGATGCTATCCAAAAGAGATTCGAGGTGAAAATTGAGGAGCTCCCAACCACCATCGATGTATCAACTTACAGTAAGCTAAATCAGCCCTTTTTAAACTTTTATAGTGAACAACTGAGTAAACCTTATTATTATTGCTTATTTTCAAATAATTAATTGACAACACTAGTAGATTTTCCTAATAAATGACAATAATTCATTCATATACTACTAATAATAAAGTTTATTAAACAATAGCTAACTACTAATCTCTCTTTAGAGCTAAAATCAAGATTCCCGGGGTTTTGGGGTTTTGGGGTTTTGGGG